ACTATTACAATTAAAGATTAAGAGATTCAAAGCCTTTCTTAAATCTTTCAGTAGCTTTGAAAATATGTGTTGACCCTATTTACACGAAGTTGCTGTTTGGAGACAAATTTGCTGCCAATTAATTTACTGGCTTATCAACAGAGTCGAATAATACAATGTAATGCCACAGCATGTAGAGCCACCGCTAATTGATCCCCTTTCCATCCAATAGGAACGGCAATGAAAAGCACTCAGCAGAGGAGATGGCGAGAAGAAAAGAGAAAGGTAAGAACTTCGGTTACCAGAAGACGGGCAGATCGGAGAAAACTCCCTGCCCTGATGTGCCTGGCTAAGAGGATTCCACTGTATTTCTAATATATTTGGAGTATTGTGTTCAATTCTGATTTCCACACTATAAGAAGGAAATAGCAGCATTGGAAAGAATATAGTGTAGATTTGTGAGGATGATACCAAGGCTGGAAGGTCACTGCTATCAAGATACATTGGATAGAGATAGATGTTTAAAGAAGTGTTTAAAATTATAAAAGGGTTTAATATGATTAAAAATAGGCATTTTTCACTGGTTGGCGAGTTGATAACCAGGAGACACAAACATAAGACAACAACTAGGGGATCTAAAGGAGAATTTAGGAGGAGACTACTTCACACAGCGGGTAGTGAGATTGTGGAACTTGCTGCCTGAAGCGATGGCTGAATCAGATAGTATAGAGGCATTCAAGATGAAGCTAGAGCTTCGCATGAGGGAGAGGGTAATAGAAGGGCATTTCAGAGAGTAAGGAATGGGGTAAGACTTGTGTGCTTGGGCCGAGTGGCCTGTTTCCGTGCTGTACGTTCTTTCTAATTCTTTGTAATAAAGAATCTGTATCCTGCAAATGTGTTGACTAGTGGGAACTCTGCTCTAGTTTGACCTAATTCCAGAGAAGAGATCTCTTGGGTCACTGAAAGTTCCAACGGGATTCTTTAATAAAAAATTCCTTTAAGAAATATTGTAAATTGGGCTTTGATGTGTTGATAACTCACAGAAGTTAGATTCTAGACAAACTATCTATCCATCTGTTACAAGTAAAAGAAAAATGGTTCTGATGAAGGGTACAATGTATTCTATCTATCAGTTTGGGTGCTGGTTGACCTGCTGTGGTTTTTACAATGTGTTTGTGTTTCAAATTGTCCATGTTGTTTGTGAAAGACATTAATCATTTGATTTTCTGGCTTCATGTATCTGCCAGATGTAGGGAAATTCCAGGAATAGTCAATCTAAGATATGCTGACAAATGTTGGCAGATCTTCTGACGGCACCAAAAAGATTAAAACAAACAGAAACCTCTTGTAAACAACTTGAAACATCAACAACAACCAACAACAATAAATGTCATATATACAGCGCCTTTCACATAGGGAAGCTGTCCCAATTTTCCCCATTTAGGGGTGGCAATCCAATTGGAAAAGCTGTCAGCCCTGGGTATCAGCTGCTTGGAAAGTCTATCTTGTAGAGTCCTGTAGCTCAGTGGTTAGAGCACTCGCTTTGCAAGCGAGAGACCTGAGTTCAATTCCAGGCAGAGGGCGAAACCTTGGGCAAGTTTCCTTACTCCACACGCCTAATAATAATCCCTCCAAAACCAAAAACAATAATAAATTGGTCATTTTCAATCTACGACTGTTTGTGGGACATTGTTGTGCGCAGTTGGCTGCCGCGTTCGCCCACAAATATACAGTCAATTCACTTTACGATGTGTTCTGTGAAGCACTTTGGGACGTCCTCCCGACGTGAAAAGCGCTATATCAAATGCAAGGATTATTATTATTATTATTATCGCACCATTCTGTAAACTCTAACATGTCAATATATCAAATCAAAGTTGTGGTCCCCCCTGATCAAATACCCTGTACACTTAAAACTAAGCCTGTTAAATTAAGAAGATGGAGGACTGTAAGAATATCAATGTGAACAATAGTGAATAAGCAAAAGAGATAAATAGGAAAACATCCACCCAATAAATAGCCGTAGGTGGTCATTAGACTTCCACAAGTGTGTCGACATGACTAGAACCTCAGTTCATCGAGCTCCGCCCTCTCCATGTCTCCTGCCTGACCCGCCCTACCATCGGTGGCCGGGCTTTCAGCTACTCGGCCCGAACACTCTGGAACTCCATCCCACGGTCCCTTCGCATCGCTTCCTCCCTTGCCTTCTTCAAGGCCGGTCTCAAGACCTTTCTCTTCGACCGTGACTTTGGTCTCCCTCCCACCTCTCTGCCTTCCCTCACCCCTACACCACCCCACGTCCCCCATGCTCGGGCCCCGACACCTGACTGTTCAGCACTTTGGGACGTCCTCCCGACGTGAAAGGCACTCTATAAATGTAATTTTGTTGTTGTTGTTGTAGAATCTAGAAATGCCAGGCTTCAAAGCAATGTACATTATTTGTATAACAAGAAGCAGATTGCAGAGCAGAAGCTAACAATAGCTATAGATTCACAGAAGAGCAGAATGCATAGCCACACAATGAAATAGTGTTTTGGAAATTGCTTCACTGAAAGAGCCAAGCGATGCATTCAGATTATCCAAAACATCCATTCATGTATACCGATATCCTTTTTTTTCTAAATTTCAATCTGTGATGCTCCTGGCTCCAGCAGGTGGGAATCGTTTACTGCACAACTGGAATTTGCCTCTTACTAAATGTTTTGTCAAGCCCCATTTCCAATTTCATAGCACCTCGCACCCCATTGATGTTATTTGTAATTGTGTAACATTGAGGAATTCATGCCAAAAGCACAATTTGCTGTTTCTTTAATAAACTGCAAAAGTACAATTGCATGATCCTGCATTGTGACAAGGTGCTAGCCATCAATTTGCTTCTGCAAAGTTCTACAATTTGCTAACAGATCATGAAATGTGTCAGTAGCAGTTTGGAGACTGGAATCCAGTTTTCGTACAAGAAAAACATATTGCAAAGAAGGATATTTACATGTGGGGAGCAACTTTTTTATCACATAAATATTGTGCACTATAAAATTAAAAGAAAGAAATGTATCATACTGCCAAGAATTTGATTTATGAGAATCCTTGGAATACACGTTGATGAAAAAATAACTTTGTTTCCCTCATGGCTTAGCTTTTAATCCACTCTTTTAGGGTAAGATTGAGCAAAAGGCTGGAATGTGATTTCTGATCTGAGCTGTTAGCTGTTCACATCCAGACAGATGTGCTAGAGGAGCAGCAAGCTGCAGGTAAAATTGGTATGGGCAGCATTGAGGAAGCCACAGTGAAATACTCCTTCTCCACCATAATAATGCTACCCACAACATGAAGCTTATGCACTACCTCGTAAAAGTTAGAACTCATCCAGGACTTGATGTCCAACATACAATTGGTCCGAACAACAGTGATGCTGAAATTGAGGGTAGAGGAGGGATAGAGTTGGCTGTTATCTGGATCCATGGGGTAGTGTACCTGAAATCTGTGGAAGATGTCGCCAAAAGGAAAGGGTAAAGATGGTGAAAAAGAAGAGTATCGAATTAGAACGCTGAGGAATGCTGCATCTGCCTGTGTCTGGTATGGGAGGAGACTCCATTGTAAGAGGTGAAATGAAAATGCTGGTGATGAACTCAAAAGAATGAAACCAGGAAAGGACAGGACCATGGAGGTGGAGCAGGGAGAAGAGACAGTGAAGAATGATAGAGTTGGCAACAATATCAAGGCAGCAGAGAGAAGAACAAGGAGGCAAAGGGAGCCTCGTTGCAGATGGAGAGCTTTTCAGCTTTTGCTACAAAAAAGGAACCTCCACCTTCAAAAAACTGCTGCAGTTTAACAGTATTGTTTTTTTTGATCAACCCGGTGTCTGACAAATGCAGAAACCCATCACCATGCTTAAGAGTATCCAAACCAAATGGAGAATTCCATGCCTCCCACCTACACATGGAAATCCCAGAGATAGATTGTTGGAAAGGAATGGGCATTCTTTCCCTGGAGGGATGTATCCCACTTACCTAATTCTGGAAAGTATTAGGCGCAGGTTGGCAAGAGCCAAGGCTTGGGGCCCCCAGAGTGTGTGTTGGGGTATTGCTGGAGTCTAACCAGCTCAAACCGCATAGCTTGCCATTGATATTGCTGTCTGACAAGCTTTCCCACTGTTTGTCCAGCTAGAACCACTCTACCCATTAAGGCTTTGCCTTGCAGAGTTAACAGGAGCTGAGTGGGATGACTCCCTCCTCCAGTGACTGGTCTGCCCCTCCAGCGCCTTGGGACGTCCTCCTGACGTGAAAGGCGCTTTATAAATGGAATCTTGTTGTTGTTGTTGTCCAGCTACTGCTGATGAGCCAGGCTGGCTATGCTGTCATCAGCAGTGCCCTGGAAAACTGCGGACTCGACTGGCTCAGAAACCTGACTACCAAGACCACCACAGAGGGCTGGCTCGATTTCAACATTCCATTGCCAGGCATGTCACCGTGAAGCCAGTTCAGCCCCAACGAGACCCCGCTGATAACAGTATTGTTTTAGACTCATGTTGTTAGTGATTGTGGTAAACCTACAATGGTTTAATTCTTAAAATATTTGTGGTCATTTATTAGGGCATATTCTTAACCCTATGTATTTGTGTATCAGCTACACATTTGAGTTTGCATTGTGATTTACAATGTTTATAGTTGCAAATAAGAGCTGAATTATTCAATATTTTCATTGATTTTGTTCTTATTTACACCTTTTAACAAAGCATTTTATTTATTTTGGCCATCGTTACTGAAGGTAACGTAATGTTGGAGGAGATTTCAGGGTACTTAGCACAGAGAGCATGTTCCAGAGTTATGGATTTTTTTAAAAATTCTGTTCAATAACAATTTAGTAGCTGTTTAAAGTGATGCATATTTCCTTCTCGAGTCTGAATTTGCTAAGGATAAGTATCAAGTTATTCCTACACAAAGCTCTAATAATAATACTACCTTTGAGGGTTATTGAATACATTTACAGGTAAAATGAACATTGTTTTCTTCTGAATATGTTACCTGAAGAAGAAGCCTCTCATCCCCAATAATAGCCGCTTTACTCCAATCAATGATCTCTGAAAATGTTAGCTCCCAACCATTACTCAATAATGCTGGGATGCAGGCAGCCTGAAACAAAGGATATTGAAAACTACAATTACATTATAGTCTTTAAAATAGGATATTAACCCACATTTTAAATGTCAACAGATCTTGAGAATAGAACAAGTCACCTTCTATTCTGTGGTTCATGCACCATATTACAGATCTCCATCTGTGTGAAAGTCTTCTCACATAGTCATTGAATTGGATCATTTTATGCTGTTTGTATATTTCCTTTCGAAAATCATCTGTACCACAATTGTGCTTCTACATGCATGGTTCTGAGTGTCAGAGGAAAGGTTTAACAATTGACATATAAATAAAGTAGGTGAATTGGAGATGTTACAAGTTGTGAAGTATTCAAGATACTGTCAGATTCATCTAGCGCTTTCAGACAAAGTGGTGGCAGCAACTTTTGTAACTAAATCTTTTAATGTCTCCAAATGAAACACTATGGGATCTGTAATTTGGATGCACCTTTAATTAAAAAGACAACAATGCAATACAATTTACATTTATATAGATTAAAATAAAATGGTTTCACATTGGAAGAATGTATTGAAGCACTTGGCACTGCTAGCAGGCACTTGATCGTGGAGTCCTGTAGATCAGTGGTTAGAGCATTCGCCTTGCAAGTGAGACACCTGGATTCAATTCTATGCAGGGCGAAACCTTGGGCAAGTTTCCTTACTCCACACGTCTAATAATAATCCCTCCAAAAACAAAAAACAATAATAAATTGGTCATTTTCAATCCACGACTGTTTGTGGGACACTGCTGTGCGCAATTGGCTGCCGCATTTCGTCCACGAATATAGTCAATTCACTTTACAGTCTATTCTGTCAAGTGCTTCGAGATGTCGAGAAAACATGAAAAGCGCTATATTAAATGCAAGGATTATTATTATTATTATTTGGGGTCGGGAGATAAGTGGGGAGGGGAGGGGAAGGCTGACCGAAACTGTGATCAAAGAGGTACTCAATGAGTTCTTTACATCAGGCCATATTGTCAGGAGACTAAGAAAAGGCTATTTCCTCACATTTAGGAAGGAAAAAGGGATCTAACGTGTGGTTCAAAGGCTATGATGTCGCAGGTCTAGCAATAGGCCATCTTGTCAGCCTGATTCGCTTGGAAGCACTCTCGCCTCTGAGTCAGAAGGTTATAAGTTCAAGCCCTATGTTGGTATTTTGAGATCATAGTCTTGGCTGACACTTTAATGAAGTGCTGGGATGCAATGTCAGAGGTTACTGTTGAGACGTTAATCCAAGGTCTTGTGTGCCTGTTTAGGTACAGAGTAAAGATCCCATGGCATTATTCAAAGAGAGAAATGAGTTTGTCCCTTGGCCTGGACAAAAATCCCCAAATAAAATTAGCTATTTGTTTCGTGGGTCTTTGTGGGTCATTGCTGGGCATGAATGGACTGCCATGTTTGCCTACAAATACACATTCACTTCCATTCATGCACATTGAGACGCCCTCCTAATATGAAAGGAGCTATACTAAATGCAAGGATTATTAATATTTTCTTTCCTTCTCAGCTAAACATTGGTACACAACCCAGAAAAACTAATCAGAGGGGAAGGAAATAAACAATGTAGTAAAAGAGAGCAAAAAGAAATTCAGATTTAGGATTCAAAAACCCCAAATTCTTCATTGTCTTAGTCATAAGGACCCTGTCTTAAAATGTGAGACTAAAACTTCGGAAAATTCTTAATTTGAAAGTCAGATTTCTGTAGCTCTTTTAATAAGGACCACAGAAAAACAGCTTCCAATGAAAACAGATTTTAAGGATAAGAAATTTCAGGTCTCTGGCATATTCAAAACAAAACCATTTTTGTCACACACAAACTAATATCCCAATATAATATCATCACCACTGTAACAGGTAAAGAAAATGTGAAAAGGAACCTCAACAGCATCATTACCCCAGCATTAGTCTATGGTGTGTTCTACTGTAATTAACTTCGTAAAGAGATGCCCTTGGCAGGTTCAGATCAATGTGAAACTTCAGCCTCCATTATTTGCATTCCATTTCTTGCTGAGCCAATTCAGCTTCAAATTCATCACACAGAGAAATCTGTTGCATAACTGAGGTTTAGATAGAGATGGACTAGAATAAATAGATGACGCACTGCAGGGTTGTTTTGAATGTGATATAGTACTTATTTAGAAAATGCCAAGCAAAAGATAAGCAAGGGAACTACAAGTATATTATTCGGGTCATAGGACTTGTATAAATGCAGTATCCAACTTGGCTTCCTCACGTTTTATTTAGGCCATGTTGGGAGTTTATAGCACAGTAAATATTCATGTACTTTTTTTTATTTTAATGGAAGTGTATGGATTTTATATCTGTTGGCTTTGAAAAAGCATTTGGGAAAATGGCAGCATAAAAGGCACTGGAAAAATTGCTTCAGTACATGAAGTGTGATTCCTCCATGGAACTCCACATTGACTCAAGGAAACTCGCACCAGTCTGGGCAGAGATCTTGCAGGTTGGCGTATCATACATGGGCTTCCCTACAAAAGACATGTTTTATATCCTGACATACCGTTTCTGGCATCAAGATTCACCAAGCCAATTGAACAAGAGGTTTAGAGTTGTGAAAGGACATTTCAGGAGCCAAAGAAATTTATGGTACAGAAGGCCATTCAGCCTATCATGTATGTGCCAGCTCTCTCAAAAACAATCCTTTTAGTCCCACTTTTCTGCCCTTCCCCATATCCTTGTAGTTGACTCTTTTCTAGTTTACTCAATATCTATATGCTCCCTCTTGGTGACATCATCTGCAGACATGGGGTCAACTTACACATGTATGTGGATGACACCCAACTCTACCTCTCTGCCTCCACCTTTGACTCCAGGACCACTGCTGTCCTGACAGAATGTCTGTTGGACATCAAATCCTGGATGAGAACTAATTTTCTTCAGTTGAACGTCAACAAGACCGAAGCTCTCCTGATTGGCTTCCATCAGCACCTCCACACCTCAGGCACTGACAGCATCACCATTCATGGTTGCACACTCCACCTTACTAAGTCAGTCCAGAACCTTGGGGTCTTGTTTGACCCTCCACTTCGACCGTGCTTTCAATCTCCCTGCTTCTCCCCCCCTGCCATTCACCCTCCCCCATCCCCAGCTCGGGTCCATAACTCTGTCTGTTCAGCTCTTTGGGAAAGTCCTTCCGACGTGAAAGGTGCTATACAAATGTAATTTTGCTGTTGTTGTTTAAACGTATTTGTCCAGTAGTCTCTTAAAAGCTAATATGGATTCTGCCTCAAACACTGCTTCTAACTACTCAGTGAGTGAACAAATTTTTCCTAACCTCCCTATCTTAATTTTATTCCCTCTAGTTACTGACTCACCAACCAGTGAGAATAATTTCTCCCTATTGACTCTATCAAAAGCCCTCATAATTTTAAAGATTTCTATCAGGTCACTCCTCAACCTTCTTTGTTTCAGTGGTAAAAGTCACAGTTCCTCCAGTCTCCACTCATAGGCCAAACCACTTATCCTGGTATCATCCTAGTAAATCTCCTCTACACCCCCTCTATCGTCTTCATGTGTTTCCCAAAGTGTAGAAGGCCAGAGGCAGCTGAGTGAAGGGGGCAATATAATGGAGTGGGATGTAAGCAGGCAACCAAAGATCAAGCCAGGAAGCTGCAAAAAGGGAAGTTGGGAACAGTCACTAAACTTTGAAATGACCATAAGAATATCAAAATACAAATACTGTATATGAAAGCGAAAGGAAGAATTGCTGAGATAATAGAATAAAAACGCTAGTAAAAGAATTGTCATAACTATTAAAGAAAATAGTTTTTGGGGTCCACCCATAAGAAAGTATTAAGAATAAGGGTGAGATAAGGTAATGGGAAGATATAAATGTCATTGCTCCTACAGTTCTAACCCGAGAACTGAAGGATGTACCTACGTTTAGACTCAGTCATAGGCGCGATTTAAACAAGACAGGGAGAAAAAGTTCATTGAATTCATGGAAAAACTGTCAACACTTTAAAAGATCTCTGCTACCAACTGAGCCAAGTACCAGTCTGGCTCAGTTTGTAGCACTTCTGTGTCTGAGTCAGAAGCTTGTGGATTCAAGCCCCATGTCAAGATTTTGAATTCACCATCATCTCGGCTAACATTCCACTGTAGTGCTGGGGAAGTGCTGCATTATTGGATGTGCAGTTGAGGCCTTCAACTAAACTCCATCTGCCTGTTCAGATGAATGTTAAAGATCTCATAATACTATTCAAATAAGTGAAGGGAGTTCCACCCAGTGTCTTGGCCAACAGTCATCTAGGATAAAAATTGTCATTCATGGCTGTTTTGGGACACTGCTATATGCAAATTGGCTGTTGTATTCACCTATAATATATATAAATATAATATATATTATAATCCTTGCAGTTGTTATAGCGCCTTATCAAGTCTATAAAATCTATAATTATATTCACTGGACTTCACAGTAAAAATCCTGTGAGGTGCTTTGAGACATTACAATATACATGACAAGGAGTCATATCAAATTTATTTTAACAGGGAGAGATGCACCACAAAAAAAGGAGAACTTAAAGAAATAAGGGGTGGGTGGTGTAGATAGACCAAAAGTTTATTCTGTCTAAAATTATTATTTATTCGGTGATGTGGAAATTTTCTGCTGCTTATTGAGCACTTGGGTGATACCATTACATTGGAAAATTGTTAATTTTATTCCTATATTTAAAAATGGTTTAAGAATGATCCCATGAATTGTAAGTGTTAGATCGGCATCTCCAATGGGAAATTATTGACATATATTATAAAGGAAGCTATTAAAATGAACCTAAAGATAATACAGATAATAAGATTTAACTAATGTAGGTGTTGAAAGCAGGTCATGTCTAACATGCAGTTATATTCTTTGAGGACATAATTTGGAAGGCACATGATAAAAATATGGCTGATGATATGAATTATAGAGAGCATCGAGTAGGATCTCCTACAAAGTTGTGGATGAAATGCAAACTCATGGGATTGAAAACAAGGTTTGTAGATTGGGCAACAGGGAATTGATCAGATAATATGAAACACAGGGAATTATCAATGGTAACAGTTCTAATTTAGCAATTGATACTCCTCAGATTAATTTGGTTACACAAATTTGATAATAATAATCCTCGTATTTGAAATAACAATTTATCACATTGCGGAAACATCTCAAAGCCGTTCACAGGATTTACGGTAAAATTTAGTGACTGTGTATCTGCGCACAAATACGGCAGCCCATTTGCGTACAAATGTCCCACAAACAGCCATGAAGTGAATGACTAATTTTATCAGGAGGATTGTTGGCCACGACATAGCAAGAAACTCCCTTCTCTTTTTCAATAGTGTCCTGCCATCTTTAACATCTACCTGAACAGGCAGACCCAGCCTGGCTTAACACCTGATCTAAAAGATGGCACCTCTGACAATGAAGCACATGCCATCCTAGGCTATGAGCTCAAAGTCCCGACATGAAGTTGAACCTTTAACCCCCTGACTCAGAGGCAGGAGTCTCACCAGCCAACAGTGACTGCTAGGTGAGGCACTGCATTCTTTTCCACAAGACCCAATGTAAACAATATCTTCCCTTGTTATTAAATTTCAAATAAAATGCAGAAATACAAACATATATATATATATGAAAATTATTTATGTTAGCCAATATTATCATTAGCCACATTTAACTAATAATTTATGGAGAACAAATATAAGCAGCAACCACTCATTTTCACCACAATTGTGGCATCATTATTTTGATTTACATTAATTTGACAAATTCAATTTAAATATGAACCAATGTAATTGAAATGTTCAAGAATTTCATTCACAAAATTTTTTTAACTTATATTTGGCAATGTTTTACTAAAACACAATGGGGTTATTGAATGCTTGTCAGTAATTGACTGTGAGACTTGTAAACTACCATATGAGAGACTCCTTCACAACCTGATGTTACTGAGTATTAAAGGCAAGATGATTTAAATTTGGTTTAAAATTGGCTGAAGGGAAAAAAAGCAGAGTGTAGTTGATATTTGAACTATGTTAAAATGGGAGGAGATATTAAGTGGGATGTCTCAGGGTCTGTACAGTGACCTCTTTATATGTGTGTACATTACTTACGTAGATTCAATACAATTTACATTTATATAATGTTTTTCATATCAGGAGGATGTCTCAAAGCACTTCACAGTGCTGAGTGGGCACCTGTGCTGGTGGAAGGAGCTGAGGGTTGGTGGGGAGGGGAAAGATGACTGAAAGTGTGGTTAAAGAGGTACATTTTGAGACATACCTTGAAAGAGTGAAGGAAAGGACCAATTCGGAGGTATTCCGGGATGGAATTCCAGACAATGGGAACAGAATGTCTTTAGTCCTGGCCACCAAGTTCACTACATTCCCTCAATCCCACTTGTATGTAGAATGGGAAATGCCACTATCAGTTCACATCACTAAAATCAGTAAACTGTAGATTTTGTAGATTGCTCCCCCCTACCTCTCCAACCTCCTAACGCCCTACCACGCTGTTCGCTCCCTCCGCTCAGTGGGCTCCAGCCTGCTTCATGTCCACCGCCTTGCCTCCCTACTATTGGCGGGCGGGCCTTCTGCCACTCTGCCCCCATCCTCTGGAACTCTATCCCGCAGTCCCTCCATCTCGCCCCCTCCCTCGCCACCTTCAAGACCCACCTCAAGATCCTCCTCTTCGACTGTGCTTTCGATCTCCTTGCTTCCTCCACTGCCCTCCACCCTCCCCCACCCTGACCCTCAGCTCAGGTCCATAACTCTGTCTGTCCAGTGCCTTGGGACGTCCTCCCGACTTGAAAGGGGTTATACAAATGTAATTTTGTTGTTGTTGTTGTTGTTAAACACACTTGGAAATGGAGAATAGTGCATGTTGGCTGCCAAAGTGCATGAGTGTGTAGACAAGTGGATAATAACCCCCAAGTTCACCAACTGTTTGTGAGTTAGGACACTTCAAGGTAGTGAAGTTTTATTCCTGAGAAAGCAGAGAAAAGAGAAAACTGCACATGTGTGTTTGAGCTTGGAACAAACATGCCTCTTGGTAGTGCTGATGACAGTGAGATAAATCTTGGTACATGAACCAGCTCACCCTCAGCATAACGGACCACACATAGACAGGCAAGTAGTGGGTGAAATAGTAGAATGAGTTAATATTGGTAATGGTTTCTGTTAATTTGAACAGTATGTCAGAATATATTTTGTAGATTTCATTAAATCATTAACAAAGTCATCTAAAGGGTATACGTCTATTTGAAATTCCAAGCCTAAGGTAACTGTAGTGGAGTAGAATGGTTATGTTCTGTCCAGAAAAAAGGAAATATTGTTTTCAAGTAAGCAGTATTTAGCTCATTAATACAGATCCTGCAATGCAGTAACTCAATGTGCAGAACTAATGGAGATTGTTAATCCTTGGTTGTGTAACGATCTGAATAAACTTAAAGGCATGTTTTGTACTGGCATGGTGAGTTGGTATTTCCTTTGAAGTTAATAGTTTCCAGGAACAAACATGAAGGAGTGGAAACCTGAAAGCTTTGACAAATATTTGAAAGTTTTGACAAATATTTTAATTCTCGCAGTCTTGTGCCAAATGTTTTTTTCCCTCAAGACAGCCAACAATCCGTGAAGATCAGTCAAACAACATTTCCTTTTGTTTTACCTGAAGAGCCTCCAGAAATCGGAACGAGCCTAGCCTTCTGCCTCTTGGGACAAGACAAAAGCTTGAATTGTGCAGCAATTCCTGGTACTCAAACCTACAGAGACAAAATAAATCCATGTAAAAATACAATTTCAATAAAATATGTTCAAACTCATAAACGCTACTTAATTTCCTTATTTGTTAGGTGACATCCTTGCCTATCAGTCGAACGGTTGCGGATTCAAGCCCCACATTGGAAATAGAGCTCAAAGTCTCAGTTGACACCCCATTGTCATGCTGGGAGAATGCTGCATTGCCAGAAGGTTCTGAATTAGATGTTAAATCGACGTCTGTTTTCCGATGGACATTAAAGTTCCCACCGCTCAATTCGAAGAGAAAAGGGAACTTCTTCTAGATTAATTGGTCATTCATCCCATCATTGCTTGGTGGCAAAATGGCTGCCACAAGCCCTACATTTAAGAGTATTTGTTTTCCTGTGTGATAGGTTCTACAAAATTTGCTTCTCCATTTTCCATTTATTATTTATCTAAAACAAGAGTTGTAGTATTTCTACATTTTTTCTTGAATTGAGCATCATGTAGGATCCCTGATACAATTATATTGTATTGTACTTACAGATCCCTACAAGGAGGGTGTCACATAGGTTGCGATATATAATCTCTGGTGGGAATGGGACAATTGCTTGGCAGCATATTTAGGTCAAGCTGGAGGATGGGTCTGGCTCAGACCAAGTAGGCGGTTTAGAAGGCATGGCATTTGGTCACTGCATGTCTTAAGAGTGCTTAGGCTGGCAATGTGGGCCTGGGACTAATAGTATTTCTTTTTTAGTCCATATTTACACTATCTATAAATATAAATATGTCTGTAAAATATTTTTTATATAATATGGCAATATCACCTTTGACTAAATTTACTTATATTCCACTGGGGTGTAATTTGCAGTATTTCTTAACAAGGATCTTTAATACGGAATCTGAGTTGCACAAATGGGGATTTTGATAACCGAATTGATCTGCAGAAATTCCACTCTAAACATGATCTACTTCCAGAAGAAGTTTGACAGAAATTCTAATGTGCTAAATAAGGAATCTCGTAAAGGAACATTGCAAATTAGATCATAGGATCTTAAACCAATATACTGTAGCATGACTGAACCTATGTGAAACAATTTCTAGCTTCAGGCATTTTAGCCTTTATATCAGTGAAATTTAAGGTCAATAAATTGGTTGCCACATCTTGCCCACAAAATATACAATCACTTCAGTTTACAGTATATTCTGTGAAGGACTTTGAGACGTCTCAAAGTCGTGATAGGACTCTATATCAAATGCAAGGATTATTATTATAATAAATAGATTACAATCAATTTCTAGATTTAGCTTCTCCAGCAATAGTTGACTTTGGCTTGTACAAGTTTTATGTCACAATTGTTACATGTAGAATCCACAACACAAACATTCCTGTTAATATAAACACTCAGTTTTCTTAACCATCACCATCTAAAGTCAATACTCGGGAAATATTTTCATTTATTAAGATCTGATTAGAGTGCCCATCTACATTTACTTTTAGAGGAAAGCAGTACACTTTTATTTCTCAACGATGGATAAGAGTAAATCATTTTTGAGGCATTACTGCGCAGAGACTGTTCAAAGTTTTGGGAATAAGATGCACATTTCAGTATGTCAAACTCTGTATACAGTTTAGTGGGTCGGGAATATGTGCATGGATCAATGGGTTCAAAGTACTGTATGTACCTTAATATGTTGATTTAGTGGTTTGTGAATGCTGTACATGATTCAATGTCTTGGTATCACTTCACATGGTTCAATGAATTGAGAATATTTTGCATGGTTCTTTGTGTTAGTTATGCAGGGCAACCTAAAGGACTGGGAATATACACATAGGGTAACAGACTGAGAATTAATTATTAATAAGTGAGAACATTTTTTCAGTGTTTGACTACTGATTATAATCATTGAAGAAATACTGTACTTGTTAAGATCAGAGAAACAACAATAAAAATCATTGGGACAGATTCTTTCATGCCAGGAGGACAACAGGATTTACTGTAATGTGTAGTGGCTGCAAATTTTGTAGGCAACATAGAGTCTGTATAACCAAAAGATAAGGTTTAATGTAGTATTGTTCGAAAGGGTGATCATAAGAAAACAGTCTAACTATAACCTCTTTGATGAGGCTTTTATTAAATATCACTAATATATAATTCTAGATGTTACAATACACTCACAATGATTTAATTTTACAGGGATGAAATATAGAATGTTTCAAAGCAGATGTGATGTGATAATAATCTGCTAGAAAAATCTTCTTTTATCCAATAGAATATCATGAAAGGAGGATTGCCCCAAGCGTTTCCTTACATTTACAATATTCAGCAGTAGAAATTCACTGAAAATTCACCCAAATTGTTTTCTGCAAGTGGCACACGTGTGAAGAGAAAAGATTGAATCATTTTGGATTCAATAATCAAAGTGCTAAACAAACCCAAATACATCTCATCTGCCATCCGGTTGAGATCTGTGCCAGTCTGTGGCCTGGATCTTACAATTGGGTTTAAGCAGGGCACTGACACTAGAGGTCACTATGGGAACAGAAGCAGGAAATCAGACCCTGACCAAACATGGATTGAGTTTATCTTCCAACGATGCTACCTGACAGCAGGGTCTATTGTGCGAGGTGTGTAAACCATGCACATGTGTTACAAGTGCTTTTAATTCTGCAATTAACAACCAATGAAAAGGAATGAAAATGAAAGTTAACTGCATAATTTTGGTCACTTGTAATTCTCTCTGTACATGTGTTTGCACATGGTTTACACGTGATTTAAACAAGTCACATAATCGACCCCTCCCCCAGTTATTATTCCGAATGATAAACATATCTCAGACTATTGGATATGTTTTTTTTAAACATTCAGTACTTTACTTATTAATTCAAATAGCATTCTGTACAGTAGTTCTAAACTTTGGGCAAAATAAATTTAAAAAGTAATGAAGGTTAAGGAAGTTTACGGATAGCGTCAATTCCTGGAATAGCCAACTGTAGGAATTGAGCCTACAGTGAAAACCATATTATATAGCTGGCAAACTCTGCACTGCAGCCTAAGCTATATCTGGCTGTATTTATCACACATATTATTTTTTGTAAATGTTTTCTAATTTGCCAAATATAGCACAGAATCATCAAAAAACAATCCCAATCTTTTTATTTTTCTTCACCAATTTTTTCACAAAATTACTCATGAATGATGAATTATGTTTGTTTCACATTAACAGGTGCAAGCAATTACAACAACAAAAACTTGCCCCCTTCATGTAGGATAGCATCTCGGAGCACTGTACAACGAACACTGTACAAATACCCCTTTACATGTAGAAGGTAAGCAATCTTTTGTCAATAATAGTTATTATTAATACAAACTTTGTGGTAAAGATTAGTTTGATGCAGCTTCATAACCAAAAACATTCATTTTATTTTAACCTCTAATATCTGATTTGGTGCCCGTATTGGCATAAGTATATTATTGCACAGTGTAAGAGTTCTGAAAGGTGCAATTTCCCAAACTTCAAGCTGAGAGAAATAAAAAGAGACTTGGAAGATTTACTGCAAAGAGGTATTTCTGACTTATTTAAAGCCAGCTACAAGAAATTACGATAAAAAATTCTACCGCCTTTTTAAATATTCTCAAAATCAAAGTGTAATTCAGAATATACTTTGAACAAGATCATCTGTTTATTGCCTCTTGTAAATACCATACTTGTTTCCTTCTGTTCCATTCTTCAGTGAAAGCAATAGCTTATTATAATCCCTTGTGAGCTCTCTTGAGTAGGATTGCAAATGCAATCCTGGATAGCTTCACATTTTTTACTGATACGCTCTTTGGCATTGTTGAGCAATAGCCAGAATGCTACTGATGGGTATGTGAAATTAGCTGCAAATGATGGACGAGTCTACGGTACCCTCTGACAAGAGTTTAGTGAGAATGGCATCTCAAATGAACAGGTAATAGATGAAGCTGTCAATTTTTTTTCAAACTGAGATGAAATAAGACATTGTTCTGAAAGTGAAACAACAAAAAAAAGGATATTTGATGTGCCAAAGCACTTTACTTGGCTGTTAAAAGCTAGAATTTTCCATTATTAGTCATTAGAAACATTTACCAGTCAGCACTTTACATTTAATAAAAATAATGTTGCAAAAGAACTGGTGGTCTAGTCAGCTAAAATAGTTATTCAAACCTCTGAGTTTGAATCAATCTTGGACTGCTAGGATGAAAATCGTCTCTCTCCAGGAATTACGCTGAACAAAAGTGCTGAATATTGAGTTTCAATAACCTTTCTCTAGCTCCCAGTGAATGAAGCCACATTTCAGCATTAATTGGAACTATCTTGATAACCTCACTGAATAAACTATGAGTGCAACTAGTACAGCAGAGAGTCGATTATTTGCCTTAATTGGAACAGGCACCTCTGTGGATGAGGAAGCAGTATGGACAATTGGTCATCATGCAAAACATGAATTGGGTACAGTGCTAACCAAAAATTCTTGTATCAGGAGATATACTGTGACCAAGGTGTTACACTGTGTCAACCCCTCTCCAACAGTAATGAATTCAAGATTTACTTTCTCCCAAACCAACATTAGAAATGCAATGCTGCTGAATTATGTAATAGCTGTTAGCTTGACTCAGTTTGTAGCACTTTCACCTCCCAGTCAGAAGGCTGTGATTCTACGTAAAGACTTTATTTTATAGTCTAGTCTGACTCTCCCGTGTAGTGCTGGAAAGTTCTGCATTGTTGAGGGTACCATCCTTCAGATTAGATATTAAATTTAGAATTCTTTCTGCCTCTTCAGGTGGATGTGAAAGACTCATAGACAATTTTCGAAAGAGAAGTAAGTTTCTTCTGGTACTTTGACAAATAATATTCCACATTAATTGGTCATGGCTGTTTGTAGGACCTTGCTGTGTGCAAACTGACTGCCATGACTGTCTACACTTATCAGTAATTACCAGTAAAGTGCTTTAAAATGTTTTAATGTTACAGACACTATATCAAAAGCAAGGATTAT